TTTTTTTTTTTTTTTTTTGGTACCAGGGATCGAACTAAGAACCTTGTGTTTGCGAGGCAGGCGGCAGAACCACTGAGCTAAATCCCTGGTCCTCATTTCTTTTTCTGATCATCAAAAGTTAACGTATTTTTATCCTGGCATTTGATTCCACTCAAACATTTGGTACAGGAAGCTCTCTACAGCACACATCTCAGTGGTATTTACTTCAACTGTCACCAGGTTAGGCCTGAACACCTGGAGGACCTGGGACTGAGTACCAATGGGGCTAACGTATTCTATGTCTAAATATTTAAAAGTCCAAAGTCCAGTGGACACACTATGAAATTAGTGCGTTCCTATTCCCACCTAGACAAGTAAGCTCGGAGGCCAGGGTCAGATCAAGAATTTCCAGGTACTTCTGACCTGACCCTGGATTGCAGCAGCACAGGAAAGCAGGTGTCTGACCACTGCCGTCTTCCCCGCTTCCCACCCAAAGCTGGTGCTTTATGGCAAGGACCAGTGTGCAAGTGCATGTACTGCCTGCGTGTCCTACTTCAAGCTGAGGACTGTGCCTTTCTGCCCCCAGGAGGACAAAGCCAAGTAAAAGGCTGCAGAGCCCCGGGAGAGGGCAAGGGGCACATAGGAACATGCAGAAGGCCTGGCTCCAGCGCTGCAATCTAAAGTGGAGGCACAGCTAGGGGAGGGTGCTGAGCCCACACACCTCTTCCTGCTGAGGAAGGGCGAGGTCTGAGGCAGCGACACTTTACTCCCAGTATACACAGAGAATCCACTTCTGAAATCACATGATCTGTCTCTTGGAAACTGAAAACGCACAACACTTGGAATTAATTGTTTAAATTCTACTTCTGTCTTAAAGCAGTTAAAAACTGCAGACTAGAAAGCAGAGAGGCTTACTAATTACAAGGCCTCAAGAATCACTCTCAACCTGAGCCTCCTGAAAAGAGAGCACTGCCATCCTTCAGAACTCCCCAGCAGCTCTGCTGAGCTCACACCTAGACAGTATTTCTGAGTCTCGAGCCATCCTAGTCTACCCTAACCAGCACATCTACACACACCATCACACGATGACATCACACTACCACACACGTGGTGACACAAAGGTCCTCAACTCTGGTAACAACGAATAAGATTACTTGGCCTTTAATTTTTCTTCTTCTTTTTCATTTTTTAATTTTGTGAGCTAGGGTCTTGTCACGTACGCCAGGCTTGCCTCAAAATCACAGTGATCCTCCTGCTTCTGCTTCCTGAGTCCTGGGATTATAGGCATGTGCCACCATGGCCAGCCCCTTTGATAGTCTTTTAAACTATTGTCATTTATGACTTACAAGCAGTAAAAAAGATTTAAATAAGTGTAATAGCAAAATTAAAATTTTTGTTATTAAATATTCCTTTAGCTAAAGTTTTTTAAAAAGTCAAACTTTCCAATAAATACAAACCAAATACTTCCAGCAAATAATTATTCTTGTCGATGCTATAATGTTAAAATGGTAACTTTAGAAAATTAATTGGTTGGGGTCACTATGGTATATTTATTACTTAACTATGAGCAAAATTTTCTAAAATTACTGCAATGCAAATATTATTTATTTATTTATTTAGAATTTTTTTTTTTTTTGAGACAGGGTCTCACGATGTATGAGACTGACCTGCCTCAGCCTCCCGGGTGCTGGGATTATAGGCGTGTATCACCATGCCCAGCCCATGATGCAAATTTTAATAGGTAAGAAGCTACACAGAGCTTGGCGTGGTGGTATATTCCTATAATACCAGCATGTGGAGGCTAAGGCAGGAGATGATTGCAAGTTCAAGGCCAGCCTGGACTATACAGTGAGAGATCCTGTCTCAAAAACCCCCCAAAAGAGAGCGAGACAGAGAGCTACAAAGATTTACTGACAAGGAAAAGAATTCTTTTTTTTTTTTTTTTTTTTTTTATGGTGGAGTCTCACTATATTTTCAATTTTATTATACTATATTTTTTATAAATTGCAACAGAAAATAAAAAGATATAGATATACCCATAAGGCTAATTTAAATTTCTTAACAAACATATATAAAATATACAAATGTATATAGAGTAATCTTATAAACAAACATATGTAAAAAGTTCCCCATGAAAAAATCTCTCAAACAAGTTCAGTGGTTTTAAAAAACAAATTAAGAAAAGGGAATTGGCTTCTTTAAAATATTGACAACTAGTGACACATAAAAGCATGAAAAGAATGATCATTTTAATAGAGCCAGACAAATCATTAGAAAAAACCCACCACTACTGTAAGGAAAAGAATTCTTTCTAAAGATTTCCTTCTTCTCCTATAATTTTCCTATGAACAGTAAAGATAAAGGTATAACAAAAAGTTGAGCTCATAGACATTTAATTCTTATTTTGTGACATTATCTGTCTTTGACAGTATCACAGATTCCTACCATTCGAAGCAAACCTGCTGCACCCTAACTAACATCATCCAGTCTTACATCCTGTCATAGTTAAGAGGCCGTATGTATATACTGTGCACAGCTAAGAGCACTGGCCAGCTGCAAGTGTGCCAAGGTTGAACACTGGTCGTACTACTTTCTGGCCATAGGACTTGGAGCAAGAACTTTATTAAAATGGACAGAGGGACACACCTATAATCACAGCTACTCAGAAGCTGAGATGAGAGGGGCACAGGTTTGAGGCCAACTTGTTTTGGCATCTTAGTGAGGACCTATCTTAAAAAAGAAAACCTTTATTGTGACCTCCCCCGCACCAATGGTACCTACCTCAGAAGACGTGCAGGATGGACAAAGGCTGGTAATACATCAGGTAAAGTCTTTAACGCAATACCCAAAATAGAGCTCAGTAAGGATCAACTCTAGCAGTACCTATTTATTTAAAAACAAAGCATTGCTACTATTTTAATGAAATATAAGCAAATCTTCAATAGGGTACTGAATAGTTACCAAAGCACAGACGTGCACATACATCTCAAGAGAGAAAGAATCATCCTACAGAATAACCAAACTGAAGTCCTGGCACCTATGTCAACCTTGCTCAGACACATGGAAAGAGAAAACTGACAGTATTTTCATTTATGAGCCTAAGTGGGAAGACTTGAGAGACGGCCATAACTGGAGGTGCTGAGGTGCAACTGAGCGGCTTCACACGCAGATAAATCTGGCGCACTCTCGAAGGAAGGAGCTGCGGGACTGGCAACATGGACGCCAGCCAGTGCTTGGGGAGACTGCTCACCTGTAATGAAACGGTCCAGCGGCATCACGGGAGCAACATGGGGCGTGGCTTGTGTGATGAGGAGGTTTATCAGCTCTTGTTTAAAGTTTTTCAGCGTAAGTAATGCCCTTGCGACCAGGCCACCCATAGAATGGCCAATTATTGCCACACTTTTGGGAGCAAATTCTTGACCCTATTGAAAAAATCACCACAGCACAATTAAGGCTTAGTATCATAATAAAAATACTAAATATTTCCCTTTGCAAATGAGGAATTTAATAGAAAAATTTAAACTATTCCCATAACCTTTCATCATAAGATACAGAAGCACAGTTAGTTTTAACTGACAAACTGAAACTTGGCTCACCACACTATTTTGCATTCTGCCATTTTAAAGAGCTTGGCTTTCTGAACAAAATCCAACTACTTGTTTAGCAAATCATGTTTGTACCATTTGTCAAGCCGCATGCAACCTGAGGTATAGTTCTATACCAGAATTTAGATTTTCCAAGATAGTAGAATCAGATCATTGGTAGAAAACTGAAAGTATCATATAAGATGCCAAGAAATTATAGTTGCCATAGCAATATACTATCTTGTCATGTTGGGATCTCCTACAGCACTGAGTAATTTCTCTATTCCTGAATTTGGGTTTAAAAATAAACCAGCATTTCAAACACTTATTTACTGACTATAAAAAATTTTAAATCAGTATTGCTTTTCAAAAAGTCTTTTGTTTCCCTCGCTGTCCTCAGTCCCACCAGCAGGCTTCAGCCTGTCACCCCACACGGACCCCCTTTGGCCTTCTCTCTGTCCCTTGTACAGAAAGGGATGAGCACAGCAGGGCCAGGCCCGCTGCCCTGTGAGGCAGGTGGCTCCTGCCATCCCTAAGTGGCCAGCACGTGGCCTCTGTCTGCGCAGGCAGCTGGTGACTCAGGAGAGCCTCACTGTGCCCAGGCAAAGGCAGCGGTGAAATCAGCCACCAGTGAAACCCCAGTCTCTAGTGCACCTCGCTGGCAGGCAGCATGTCCCGGAGGTCACAATGGGCTGGTGCAGGAATGAAACGTGAAGTGCCATCGCTCTGTGGGAACTTATGCAAGTTTACACCTGGCTGCCTCTAGATTTCGCCCCATGCACCATTTCCCTTTGCCGGTTTTGCTTTGTACTCTTTTGTCACAATAAATCATAACCCTAAACCTGCTCAGGATTCCTATACAGCTGGTCTGAGCAAAAGCCAAATGTTACATCCGTGTGTGAAACCTATCCTCCTCTGCCTTCTCAAATACAAGATGGCAACAATGCTTCCAATTTCTTGCATTAGTGTCTTTCCTTCTACACTGGATCATTCTCAAAATAAAAGCAGCTTTTTTTTTTTTTTTTTTTTTTTTTTTTTTTT